GAAACTGAAAAGTGCAAAATACATCTTTTTCTGTGCAGTAACCTATAGCAGCCAGTTAAAAATTAACTCTACTCAGACCTCTACAAGATCAATTCCTGCTGTGTGTTAGAGCTCCAAGAATTCTCTGGAAGGGACAATGGGAGGGATGTGTAATATGTGTATTACACTTATCTCCATGATGTTGAAAAACCTGCAAGGAATGCAGAGGTTCATGCACTTACCGCTTCTCATCTCTGGTATTTTATGAATGGAATTAGCCATTACAAATAGCAGACCCAAAAACTCTCATTGCTGCAACTAATTCCCTTCAGAAAATTAAAGGTACAATTAATGCTACCACTGCACTACAAGTACAATGCTTTTTGGGGTGCTGTATCTGAGAATGGAAAATACACAGGTAAGTGTAAATAAATTACACTGACCTCCTGCTGTCCTATCCACAGATCTTTCTCCTTGAAGAACTACTACTTTGCTCCTTGCACTTCATATTGAATAAAGCTGATGGTTTCCAGTAGGATTCAGCTGCTAAGCTGGTGTCAGACTAGCCATTAAACCAACAAGAAGATCTGCTTTAGTGACTTTACAATCCAATTTTAGTGGTTCCTACATAACACAGTCTAAAATTGTTCTTACCTACTTATAATAGTTGCAGCTGATGTAATAAATTTTTCCACTTAACATAACTAGTTTGCATAGATATTGTAAATTCAATATTTTACTAATTAAACTGGTTGCGACCTGGCACAATACTTAAACTGTACCTGTCATCCAAGTACAAAGAAGGCAGACCGTTATCAAGGCTGCAAAAATATGTTTTAAGGAATACAAGGTCTGATGTCACGTGTTTCTAATGAGTTGTAAAGCTTTTACAACTCATTAGAAACACGTGACATCAGACCTTGTGTGTATACAACTGCTTAGGCGCAGAAAAGTACTGCATAAATTACCTGTATGTATTTCAATGATATAGTTAAAAGCCTAGAGAAGATACAATGTCCTACGGCACTTTTAACAGTGTTTTACAATAGTTTTCATTAATGTACATAAAAATTGATTTTCACAGTACCTTTTTATATGTTTAATGTGTGGTCACTGCAAAACACTCCGCTTCTGCCCCTTGCTCTGTGGGCGGTGTGCGTGGACTACCCCTGCACTGATGAGGTTTTTTTTTATTGGAATAGTTGATAGGCAGTGTAATCAATTGGACACCAGCACTCGCTTGCTATATGAGGAACTATCAGAATCAACAGGTAGTTGATCAATTATAGCAAAGGACTTATAACTTAGGGATAATCTCAATGTGTCTTTATTTTTAGGGACAATGTATGTATTGTTACTTAATTTTGGCTGTAGTTCCAAATGCACCACATCTTCTCAGATCACGCATGCAAGAGTTTCTGAAGTGGGTCACTGAAATAATTCCCATGTGAAAAGATCAATAACTAGTTGAAATACCATGTTTTGAATACATGATTTTTTTAATGCAAATATGTTACATGGCAGTGGCAGGAAACACGTGCCATAAAACTCCAATATCACCAGTTTCTTGACAGGTGGTTAGTCCAGCTCACAAAATGGCAGCCTACACTACTCATTTGCTTGAAGACAATCTGTAAAGAATAAAGGATTCTACTGCTGACCCCGCATTCTAAATATTCTATCATGGGCGGACTGACCATTTGGAAATTTGGGCACTGCCCGAGGGCCCGGGGTCAGTAGGGGGCCCCATGAGATGCCCCTGGTACCTTTTTTCATAGGCTTTTTTGAGTTTGGGCAAGGACACAGGGGCCCCATGATCCCCTATCGCCCGGGGGCCCCGTGAGTTGTCAGTCCGCCCGTGTATTTTATTCACCTGGCTGTCTTGCAAGTCTAATGGCTTAAATTATTTAAGGCACTAATCAGGAACAGCTATGCAGACTAGGTGTTCCTATCTCATTGGCCCCATGCTTCTTCAGGTCAGCAATTCAAGTCAGAGATCTCTAGGTCAGGCATCACTAAGCGGCGAATCACAGTCAGGATCTGGACTGAGTGTCCCATTTGGACTGCCATTGGATCACGTCACTTAGGAGCCGGTTCTTCCCCCAGCCATCTCCCCTGTCATCCTCACAACAGAGAAGACAGTGGAAGGCAGGACAGTTCTGGATGGAGGGTGGGAGTTGCTAAGTTAATTTTTCACGTTATGATGCAGGTGCTTGGTTGCTAGATTCAGGGCAGTCCTACTGTAGTACCCAATCACCAGCTTGTTAACATGAAAAACTTTCTTACAGACCTGCTGTGCTGCCCAGAGAGGCAATCCCAAGGAGACTGAGGACACTAGCGTGGAGGATGGGGGGGTGTAATGTGAATGGGAGCTGTGGACACTAATTGAAGAATGGGAGTTGATGTGAAGGAGGCTAAAGATACTACTGTGAACCATGGAGGGAAGGGGGGGGGCTGAGTGCACTGCAGTGAAGGGGGAATGTGATGTGAAGGGGGGCGGAGTACACTGCAGTGAACAGGGATGTGATGTGAAGGGGAGCTGGGAACATTACTGTGAAAGGGAGAGGTGATGTGAAGGGGGGCTGAGAACACTACTGTAGGTAGGTGATGTGAAGGGGCAGAGGACACTGTAGTGAAAGGGGAATGTTATATTAAGGGGGGCTGAGGACACTGCAGTGAAGGGGGAATGTGATGTGAAGGGGGGCTGAGGACACTGCAGTGAAGGGGGAATGTGATGTGAAGGGGGTTGGGGGGCACTACCTTTGGGGGAGTTTATGTGAAGGGGAGATGAGAACACTGCTATGAAGGCAGGGGGTGTGATATGATATGAAGGGGGAATGAAAATACTATTGTGAAAGGGGTGGAGCTAGGGTGAGAAAAGTTTTCTGATGGGGGGGCTGGGGACACCGTGGTGAAGGGTGGGGTGTAATATGAAGGGGAGCTGAGGACACTGCAGTGAAGGGGGAATGTGATGTGAGGGGGGCTGAGGACACTGCAGTGAAGGGGGAATGTGATGTGAGGGGGGCTGAGGACACTGCAGTGAAGGGCAAATGTGATGTGAAGGGGGGCTGAGGGTGCTACCTTTGGGGGAGTTGGTGTGAAGGGGGGTTGATAAAACTGCTATGAAGATGGGGGGTATGAAATTGAAATGAAGGGGGGATGAGAACATTATTTTGAAAGGGGTGGGGGTGGAGGTGGGGTAAGAACAGTACTCTGAGGAGGGCTGAGGACACTGTGGTGAAGAGGGGTGAAATGTAAAGGGAGGCTGATGACATGTGGTGAAGCTGAGAAGCTGAAATATAAAGGGGAGATCTTGATATGAAGGGAAGGGAACTGTGACGTGAAGGTGGGGGCTGTGATATAAAGGAAAGGACTGTGATGTGCAGGAGGGACTGTGGACACTGATGTAAAAACAGGATTATGCTATAAGAGGAGGGGGGCTGTGGTGTGAAGGATCTAAGTCATCGCACAAACACACAATTTGGACCTCTGCTGAAAAGAAAATTTTACTGACCTCAGAATTTTAATTCAATAACCCTGCCGGAGGGAACATGCGAACACGAGGAGAGAGCAAGGTGAGCAGAGGGGATGCACTCAGTGTTCTACTGCGGTTTCCATGGCCAATCACAGGCTGGGTTCAGGGAGGTGACCTAGCTGTACTGCTCTAACTGTAACAGATAAAAGTCAGGTCATCAACCTGACTGTTTTGTCTGGCACGCTGTGTAAATCCCAGAATGGGACAGAAAAAATACAAATCCTTTGGCAGATGAAGCAGTACCTATATATATTCCATCTGTGTATTTAGTGGTTTGCCTGGAGTGCAGCTTTAATGTATAGATTCAACTGAACAACACTCCAAGAGGCACATAGTTTAAAATATGGTAAACAGCTTATCTTACTTCCACAAGTAATAAACTGCAAAATATTAAAAACCTGCAAAAAGTTACAGAAAAAATGCTTAATCATTGGCATGCTCTGGTTTTCACCATGCATGGATTTTATGGAAGCCCCACATTTTTTAATAAAACATCCCTTTTGAAAGCACATGATGTTTGGTCATACCAAAAATATTGGTTGCTACAATAAAAAAATATTGTTACACTCTTTAACAAGAACACCATTGCATGGAAATTCAGCTTCATGTGCAAACCGTTATGAAAAAGAAAATAAACTTGGCATTTTTTGACATATTACACAGGTAATTTACCCTTAAATACTCAGTAGGTTCTACAGCTTCCCATGACACCCTGCAGTGACATAAGGCACTTACCAGAGCTATGCATAGTTTTGTATGTAGCCTTTGTGAAAATGTATTTTTGTAAAAAAACTAACTCTTTTCCAGAGTAGCACATTTAAATAGACAAACTAAAACATGCAAAGCCATATTAAATATTACATTTCTGGACCCTGGCATACCAAAGCAGGACAGTAAAAAAAAATCTAAAAACATGCAAAAGAACATTTTCAGTGGCAAAAACGAAACATAGAGAAAAATTAAGGAACAGTACACAAAGTTGACTTATGAACAAACTTTTAGAAAATATTCTGCTGTATAAAAAAGGTGTTGAAAGCAATGCAAAAGCATTTTTTAGAACTATGTGAATACCAGAAGGTAGAGCATACATTATACATTCACTCACAAAATAAGTACTTATTTGCAAATAGTATATATTAACCCTTCAAATTCATTTGCATTGAATGTCTTTTCTGAATGTCTCTTCATTGGAGAGGAGAAAGCTATCTCTGAAAGGAAGATGGGTATAAAAAGATACCACTAAATGTAGAATACATATCATCAGAGTCTGAGCTGGCAAGCTTGCCTCCTGTTAAGACAATGCCGACTTCATCTCCAGCCTTCAAGTGCAGAACGAGGTTAAATGTCCCTACACCACCACACATTTGTCTTCCAGGTCTTAGGTCGCTGTATTCCAGAAGCTCTCTTCTGTACCCAGATGTATGCAACTGTGCCATACTGACATTAGACACTGACAGGACAGCCTCAATGTAATGTTCCTGTTCTGGAGTGAGGACCGCAGTGACCAAGTATCGACCCTCAATGGGAGCTGTGAAGATTCCTGCATAAAAAACACAGCAGTTAATTCCAAATGACAATCATCTTTTATTTATATAGCAACAAAAAAAAAAAGAACAGAAAAACGTCATGCAGACAGTGCTTGGAATATAATGAAAGCCATCAGGACCGAACAACTCCAGTAATCACAAGTTACCATGTTTGGTCCTAAGGCCAATAACATCAAGAGGATATAGTTACACTATAGAATTAGAATGTGTAGTGTAGAATTAGTTACACTGTAAACTACACTTTATGTAGTACTTGGGGCTGTATTTTCAGCGTATACTGCTCCGGAACACACAAAACAGGGAAAGCTTATAGTCAGTGGTGAAGTATAATAAAAGAAGACAATAAAAGAAAAATGCCTGCTCAGGGGCCCAGACTCCAAACAAGGTACATTGGGATTATATATAAAAAAAAAAAAAAAAAAAAATAGTTCTGCACTCTAGTGGTCTTTTTACTGAGTTAATCTGAATTTTGCAAGTCCTTGGCCTTTTTTCCCCCAGGTATTCAGTCATGGCGGCCTTTGTGATGCTCTCAGTTTACGTTTCCTTTAACCATTTGCCTACCGGGCACTTATACTCCCTTCCTGCCCAGGCCAATTTTCAGCTTTCAGAGCTGTCGCACTTTGAATGACAATTGTGTGGTCATAAAAAACTGCACCCATATGAAATTTTTATAATTTTTTTACACAAATAGAGCTTTCTTTTGGTGGTATTTACTCGCTACTGGGTGTTTTATTTTTTGCACTATAAACAAAAAAAATAGCAAAAATTTTGAAAAAAAAAAATTGCTTCTATTATAAAATTTTGCAAACAGGTAATTTTTCTCCTTCACTGATATGCGTTGAGGCTGCACTGATGAGCACTGATAAACAGCACTGATGGGCGGCACTGATATGCAGCAATGATGGGCACTGATAGGTGGCACTGATATGAAACAATGATGGGCACTGATAGGCGGCACTGATAAGCTGGCACTGATATGGAACAATGATGGCACCGATAGCAGTGATGGGTGGCACTGACTGGGCACTGCTGGGCAGAACTGCTGGGCGGCACTGCTGGGCACTGATCATCAGTGCCCTGATGACTGGTGCTGATCCGTCCTCTGACAATTGCTGGTTATCTGCAGTATTTTCCTCATGCTGTGACAGCGTGAGGAAAGTGCAGCCGATAACCGGCAACTGCATTTTCCGGTGATCTGCTGTGTCACTGGACACGGCCGATCACATGGAAAAAGGCCGCTGTGATTGATCTGTAGGACACAGCGATCACAGAGATCACACGCGGGAGAGTGCGTTCTGGAAGGACATCATATGACTGGCCGGCAGCAGTGTAGATGTCATTCTGCAATTGGTTAATAGATGAGTTCACCTTTGGGAACATGTAACATGTTCCCAATGCTGCTGCCGCCGCCTGATCTCCCTCCTTGTGAAAGAAGTAAGGGGAGAAGTTCCCCGTACTAACTGTCACTAAAACCAGCGTGGCTATGTGGGGCTCCACCCACACGGCTGCATCATTCATTCATTCATTCATTCATTCACAGTGTTCTATGAATGAATGAACTAAAAGTCAGCTTGCAGTTATCAATGGACTACCATGGCCCTGTGGAGCACCGTGGGTAGTTCATTGAATTTTCCAGTCAGTATATCTGCTTGCCCATACATCACGTACAGGCAAGCAGACATACTGACAGATCTGCAGGCGATCTGCATGGTACCAGCAGTCTGCTGATCGCTGGTGCAATGCTTTACAGCAGAGGTGTCAAACTCAATTTCATTGTGGGCCGCATCAGCATTATGGTTGCCCTCAAAGGGCCGGTTGTATCTGAAAGACTAGATGTCCAGTGCACCCCCCATATCCGAGGTCAAGAGTCCTCCACCCTCCCTTACATCACAGTGTACCCCCAGTACCATGTGCTTCTGCCAGGAAGAAGCTGGAGGCGGAGCTGGGAAGCAGAAAGTGCAGGGTCTGGAGGATGACCGAAGGAGGGCTGGAGTGAGCTGCTGAAGGCTGCAGGGGAGGTGGAGACAAGGGGGTGCTGCAGCTGCACAGAGATGTGCAGGTTTGTAGGTGGAGTTCTGTCCTCTCTGCTGCCAATTGCTGAGACCAAGGATGGGTTGCAGAAATGAGCCTCTCTATGGCTGCATGGAGAAGAGCAGGATCTGGCGGAGGAGATCTGTCCTCCTCTCTTCTGTTGACTGCTGAGACAAAGTGAAGACGAGGGAGTGCCACAGCTGGAGGAGAGGTCTGAGGGCCACATGAAATAGCTTGGAGGGCCGGATTTTGCCCTCGGGCCTTGTGTTTGACACCTGTGCTTTACAGGCTTCATAAACCAAAAATTACAAATGCACATTTTTTTTTACCTGCAAAAAAATGTGCATTTATTTTATTTTTTAAAAATGTATTACAGATCCTTATCTATCTATCCATTCAGTCATATCCGACCCTTGGCGATTGCATGGACTGTCACTCGTAAGCGACTTTTTCCATGAATTCTCTTAGCAATTATTTTACAGGGTAGGTTGCCAGGTCTTTCCCCAACCCCTACCATGCAGGAGATCCCGCATGGCCAGGGATGAAACTAGGACAATTTAGACAGGAGCCAATTAACCTACCAGCATGTCTTTGGAGTATGGAAGGAAACCGGAGTACCCGGAGGAAACCCACACAAGCACAGGGAGAACATGCAAACTCCATGCAAGAGGCGCCATGGTTGGAAATCGAACCCATAACCCATTTACTGCACAGCAAACGTGCTAACCACTAAGCCACTGTGCCGCCACAGATACTTATATAGCACCGTATATTTACACAGCGCTTTATATATATATTGTACATTCACATCAGTCCCTAACCCTCAAGGGGTATACAATCTAATGTCCCTAACTCACATTCATACATACACATACTAGGGCAAATTTAGACAGGAGCCAATTAACCTACCAGCATGTCTTTGGAGTGTGGAGGGAAACTGAAGTATCTGGAGGAACCCCACGCAGGCACAGGGAGAACATTCAAACTCCAGGCAGGTGGTGCTGTGGTTGGGATTCGAACCAATGACCCTAGAACTGCCAGGCAGAAGTGCTAATCATTTAGCCACTGTGCTGCCCCATTATTTTTGGTTAAAAGGTTAACTTATCTTTAAAGATGAATAAATAATCATACACAATTCATTCATACACTCCCTGTACCTTATGCCCCCGTTCACACCAATGCGACTTGTCATGTGATTTCACAGTTCAAATCGCATGACAAGTCGCACCCTATGATCAGCAATAGAACCGGTCTAATCGGTGCGGCTATGACTTCATCAGAGATGCACCAATTTGAAAAGTAGTTCCTGCTCTACTTTTGCCGATTACTGGTGTGAATTTGAACTGACGTCTGTGAATGGAGTCGTACACATGTCTTACAAGTCGCACCTGAAGTCGCACTGACATGCGACTTTGAAAACATGCAACTTCATGTGAAGTTGCACAATTCAAAGTCGTATTCAGTGTACACCATTGCTTAAAGTTGTAACTGAAAACCCAAAGCCAAAAATGTAATGCATTGCAGCTTACCAGTTGGTAAATGCTGTGGCTGTATTCCTGTATTAGAGTGCCTCCACTCTACAGTAGAGGAGGGAGCTCAGAGGGCACATTTGGACAGCAGTGTTGTCAGTCTGGGAGTATTAGATGTACTAGCAGATTTAAAGCAGTATTAAACCCAAAAACAAAAATGTACTACATTGCAGCTTACCAATCATTAGAAGTGGTGGCTGCTTCAGTTTTATATTTTGAAGGATTGTTCCCTCAGTTTTCACCTGGTTTTCTGGCCAATAACAAACAACACACCTCCTATATTAGAGTGCCCCCACTCTGGATGAAAGAGCAAAGGGGCACAGCAGACAGCGGCATTGCAAGTCTGGGGTGGGGGAGTTAAATGTACTAGCAGATTTAAATACCCAAATTGAAGCTAAACTCCAGCTAACACTATATATTCAGTTACAGAAAACAGTTTCCTTTTGGGATAAAGGTTTTACATAAATAAATAAAAGCTAATCATTTTGAGCACTCGTGTCAGTGTTAGGTGGTGTATCTCATCCCAGTAAACTATTGCATCTGGAAGAGAGCTTGTTTCTTTTGAAAAACAACAGACTTGCTGGCTGGATCACCAGATGAAAACAAAAGAAAGCAAGCCTAAAAAAACCCCAAAACAACAACTAATGCAGCCATCACATCTAAGAAATGGTAACCTGCAATATACTGAATGCTGCTTTTGGGTTTAATGCCGCTTTAAAGTGGTAATGGCCTTATAACAAACCCACCCTTCTCTAAGACAACGCAAACTACAAGCTCTTCGGTTCAAAAATTCTGCCTCCAACTTGTTTAGTCTGCCTAGAATAAACACACCTAAGGCTCCATGTACATGGCCTACCCTGACCGCCGGCCGTGGGAAAATGTAAATCGTGGCAAAACTGTGGCAAAACGCAACTGCGGTACCGCGATTTTGCCACATTTTGCGGTTTCCAGAGGTTGCCGGTCAAAATGTTCCTATCCTGAATGCGATTCTCCCGCGTTCAGAAGGAGGTTTAACCTAACCTAAATGCGGCAGCTCCTACACTCTGCTAAAAGCATATGTGTGCATGGACACACAGGCTTTTATGGAGTTGAGTTTAGAAGCTTTGGCAAAAAAATGCCAAAAGCTCTTAAACTCGAGTTTAGGAGCTGTTCATGTACATGAAGCCTTACACTGCAACATTTAGATGAATTAAAAAACCATTTAATATAAAAAAACACAACATAACAAAGAGAGCAGTCCCAGCAATACTTCTATGCAGCCGGTTCTATGTTTTGCTGGGAAAAATAAAAACTCCATAACAGAGTCATACTTGGCAATTGGTGCTTTTTGAACAATTTTAAACGCTTCTGCCTATTTAAGCTGAATTCAACTAGGCATTAATAAGCTGAGGAAAGTAAAACACATAATGGCCAATTCACTAGAGAGAACAATA